CAAAAAATTAGATTTAAACAGAATTTTAGGCCAAATTGACTTGGCAGACATTTGCAGAACATTTCATCCATCAACTACAGAATGTACATTCTTCTCATCAGTACATGAATCATTCTCCAGGCTAGACCATGTGTTAGGCCACAAAGTAAGTCTCAGAAGTTGTTTTTATTTTTTTTTCCTTTTTGTCTTTTTTCGTGACCGGCAATGGGATCGCAACCCTCAGTGTCACACCTGCACCGCGTTCAACCAGTGAGTGGACCGGTCTCTATATGGGATCCGAACCCTCAGCGGGAGCGCCGCCATGCTCCCAGGCGCCGCACTCTACCAAGTGCGCCACCGGGCCGGCCCGTAAGTCTCAGAAGTTTAAAGAGATTGAAATCAGATCACAATGGAACAAAATTAGAAATTAACAACAAGCAAAACTTTGGAACCTATACAAATACATGAAATTAAACATGTTCCTGAGTGGCCAATGGGTCAAACCAAAATAAAGCAGGAAGTCAAAAAAATTCTTCAAGGAACGATCTGCAAGGCTCAATAGCCCCATCTATTGAATCGGAGGTCCAAGATTCGAGAGAAAACCCCTGCCAAAATGAACAAACACCCAAAAAGAGATACCCGAAATGCAAAAAACCAAGAAAATACACCACCAAAAGTCAATAATTCTCAAATTCTAGATCCTATAGAACAAGAAGCCCTTGAAATGAATGACAGGGAATTTCAAGTGTTAATCCTAAAGAGACTGAACGAGATACAAGAAAACACAGCTAGACAACATGATGAAACCAGGAAAAACATACAGGACCTGAAAGAGGAAATGTACAAGGAAATCACCGTCATAAAAAAAAACGTAGCAGAACTTGCAGAAATGAAGAAGTTATTCAGCGAAATAAAAAACACAATGGAGAGCTTAACCAGCAGGATAACGGAAGTTGAAGGCAGAACCTCGGTTCTTGAAGATGGGCTCTTTGGAATAATACAAGCAGACAAGAAAAAAGAA